TGCCACTGTAACCGGCTCAGTCCCTGGGCCCCCCCTGCCCTCAGACAACCCCCGCCCAGCCTCCCCAGTTGCCCGGATCCCACTGGTACTACAGCTTGTAGCCCCTTCACGGACTGTGGATGAGCCACCTGCTGTTTGCTCATATAGCCAGAACCACTGGTGAGCAACCTCAAACAACACTTCGGGGTACACGCCCCCACCCTTAGCTGCCTCTTCCACTGCTATACAGGCCTTCTCCAACATCATGTTATCCTGGAAGGGAAAGACCAAGGTGTTAAGGGAGAAGGACCTCACCCAAGGATGGTGTCAAATGACATTCTAATGTCTCCTTCAGAGTTGACTGATTCCCAGGGAGACATCAGAGGTGAGACTCAATGCTCTGAGCATCAGAGCAGTAAGTGCTTTACACAGACACTGAACAAATACTTGTGAATCAATAGGAGTCAAGACCCAGGTTATACTGGATTGTTGGAAAAGTCATGATGCATTTTTGCATAGAAAAACAGGAAAAATATAAGACCAGCAGATGGTGTAATGGCTATGTTGCTGGACTCCCGTGTAGTCGACCGTGTTTCAAGTCCCGGACCCAGTGGCTTAAACTGACAGCAGGCGCGTGTGCGTACATGCCCAAGATCCCGAGAGGAGAATGGAGGAGAAGGGATTGCAGCATGGCCATCCCCCCTGGGGGGTGATTTCTCACTTTCTGTCTCTATGTCTCTGTCTGGCAAGCACCCTATAGCAAAAGCCTCTTAAAAAAAAAAAAAAAAAAAAACAGGAAAAATACATCTGACTTTTCCAACAACCCAACAACTTCTTGGGCCACCTTGGGAAGCCCCAACCCTGTCCATTCCAAACTAATTTAACTATCCCCTCCCATCCAAGTCTCATCATCTATCTGAAGTTTTGTGCAAGTTTTCCATTCTGGGTAACTATCTTGGACTCTAAACTATATAGGTCTCCATTTCCCTAAGTAAATTAGGAATAATCCTAACCTTAGAGCTGTACGGAATGGAAATGACACAAAGCACACTACCATGTAAAATGTCACCAGGAGGGATAAACGATATTTATAAACTCTAGGATATAAGAATCAAGAACTGGGCTCTAAAGTTTTCCCCATGCCCAACTTTCCTGCCCAGATACCCCAGAACAGGTCACCAGGTTGTCTGTAGAAATTACCTGTTCCTTGCACTGTACCAGGGCCCGCTGGATCTCATTGGGGTTCAAAGCGTGGGCATGAGGTAGGCAGCTTAAGGCCAACTCTGCCGCTGCCCTCACCATATTGGAGTCTCGTGCCCGAGATGCCCTATCAGCCAGAGATGCAACCTCAGGGGGCGTCAGGTGCCCATCCCAGCATTCTACCAGTATGGTCAAGGCTGCACTGCCAATCTCCATTGCCTGGCCTTTAGGAAAATTGCCTGGCCTTTATGGAAAGAAGAGCACAGTGAGGTTAGCATGGGCACCACTGGGGCATGGGAATGATGTCTCTCCTGTCAGATCAGTAATGCCACAACAATGAGGCTCTTATCTCCACCATCTGATCCCCCTCCCACACCCAAATCAGGATGCTAGATTTACCTGTAATCCAGGAAACGTGGGAAGAATAGGTACGTGAGAGCCAGTTGGGAGAAACAAAGTTGTGCAGGCCAAGGGCATAAAGCCCAATCTCGAAGGCGCAGAGGTGCAGGTTGCGGTGAGGACCCTGGTGGCCCCCTGAGGAAGATGGATGTGTGAAAATGGAAGTGCTGCTGTTGCCCCCTGCCTTGATCAGGACCGTCTTCGCCAGCTCGAAGTAGAAGTGTGCAGCTGCCTCTGACGGCTGATTGGGTACATGGGGGGCATGACTCTCGGGACGGCGGCCCTTGTACCTGAAGGGGCAATGGGGTAGGGACGGGGGTTGGGGTTTCTTTGAAATGGGTCTCCAGGTAGGTTGGGAAGGACCAGGGTAAATGAGGATATAGAGGAACAATGGTTGGATTACACTAGGAGTGTGGCTCTGGGGGTGGGGCCAGATCAGAAGAGATGGGTACTTCTTCCAACTGACCTGCCAACTTCAACTGTCTTC